GAGACCTGGGTCTGGGTGTCTCAGTAGGTTCACAGTGGCGGTGTAAGAGTCGCTGAGTCACCTACACTGGAGACCTGGGTTAGAGACCTGGGTCTGGGTGTCTCTCTCAGTAGGTTCACAGTGGCGGTGTAAGAGACACTGAGTCACCTACACTGGAGACCTGGGTTAGAGACCTGGGTCTAGGTGTCTCTCTCAGTGTGTTCACAGTGACCATGTGAGAGGCGCTGAGTCACCTACACTGGAGACCTGGGATAGAGACCTGGGTTAGAGACCTTGGTTAGAGACCTGGGTTAGAGACCTGGGTCTGGGTGTCTCTCTCAGTGGGTTCACAGTGGCCATGTAAGAGACGCTGAGTTATCTACACTGGAGACCTGGGTTAGAGACCTGGGTTAGACACCTGGTACCCTGGCTCCAAGCCGGGACATGGCGACCCTCAATGCTGCCACCGCCACCACCACCGCCACCACCGCCACCACCACCTTCACCACCACCATACATCAACATACATCAACACACCACATCAACACACCACATCAACACACATCAACACACATCAACACACATCAACACACCACATCAACACACCACATCAACACACATCAACACACCACATCAACACACCACATCAACACACATCATACATCAACACACCACATCAACACACATCAATACACCACATCAACATACATCAACACACCACATCAACACACCACATCAACACACCACATCAACACACCACATCAACACACCACATCAACACACATCATACATCAACACACCACATCAACACACATCAACACACCACATCAACACACCACATCAACACACCACATCAACACACCACATCAACACACATCAACACACATCAACACACCACATCAACACCACATCAACACACCACATCAACATTCATCAACACACCACGTCAACACACCACATCAACACACCACATCAATACACCACATCAACACACATCAACACACCACATCAACACACCACATCAACACACCACATCAACACACCACATCAACACACCACATCAACACACCACATCAACACACCACATCAACACACCACATCAACACACATCATCAACACACATCAACACACCACATCAACACACCACATCAACACACATCATCAACACACCACATCAACACACCACGTCAACACACCACATCAACACACATCAACACATCACATCAACACATCACATCAACACACCACATCAACACACCACATCAACACGCGAGTTCATCACCGGTCAGTTTGGTGGGTGGGGACATCAACAGTCAGTGTCCTTGGCGAGTTCATCATTGGTGAGTTTGGTGAGTGAGTTCATTACCGGTGAGTTTGGTGAGTGAGTTTACTGAGTTTGGTGAGTGAGTTTAGTGAGTTTAGTGAGTTTGGTGAGTGAGTTTAGTAAGTTTGGTGGGTGAGTTGGGTGAGTGAGTTTAGTGAGTGCGTTTGGTGAGTGAGTTTGGTGAGTGAATTTAGTGAGTTTTGTGAGTGAGTTTGGTGCGTGAGTTTGGTTAGTGAGTTTGGTGAGTGAGTTTGGTGAGTGATTTTAGTGAGTTTGGTGAGTGAGTTTGGTGAGTTGGGTGAGTTTGATGAGTGAGTTTATACTCTTTGGTTCTATTCGGCAAAGTCACGTAGGTAAAACAATATAAAACAACAAAAATCACGACGTTTCGGCCACAACACAAGCGGCCTTCATCAGGTGAAGGGACCAGCCTGTCTCGAAGACTGCGCTGGAGTGAGACAGAGCCAAGCTCAGACTGCGACCTTTAAGCTGTGTGAGAGGGATTAAGGTGCCTTGACAAAGGAATTAGCGTAAAAAATTAGCATTTGATTGGCGTACTTATCATGATGAAAGGTGTAGCACAGTGATCGGCACCGGCAGTGCACCAGCCTGTGCTGCGAAAGTTTGGGGTACCACTACTTGAAAAAATATACTGTACCAATAAAAATTAGTTTAACGTTTGGTTCGATTTAGAACTTCTTTCCAATGGTTGCTTAATTTGAAACCATCTTCTCGGTTGAAATTGTCTCTGTGTTTGTAGATCGGAATTGCCTCGTGAACAAATCTCTGATAAAAACCCGTGGGTTTGCAAATAATTTAGTGAGTTTGGTGAGTGAGTTTGGTGGGTGAGTTGGGTGAGTTTGGTGAGTGAGTTTGGTGGGTGAGTTGGGTGAGTTGGGTGAGTTGGGTGAGTTTGGTTAGTGAGTTTGATGAGTGAGTTCGGTGGGTGAGTTTAGTAAGTTTAGTGAGTTCGGTGGGTGAGTTTAGTGAGTTTAGTGAGTTTGGTGCGTGAGCTTGGTGAGTCAGTTTAGTGAGTTTGATGAGTGAGTTTGGTGGGTGAGTTTGGTGAGTGAGTTTGGTGAGTGAGTTTAATGAGTTTGGTGAGTTAGTTTAGTGAGTTTGGTGAGTGAGTTTAATGAGTTTGGTGAGTTAGTTTGGTGAGTGAGTTTAGTGAGTTTGGTGGGTGAGTTTGGTGAGTGAGTTTAATGAGTTTGGTGAGTGAGTTTAGTGAGTTTGGTGAGTGAGTTTAATGAGTTTGGTGAGTTTGGTGAGTGAGTTTAGTGAGTTTGGTGGGTGAGTTTAGTTAGTGAGTTTGGTGAGTGAGTTCATCAACGACTTGGCACTCTGCACGCGTCACAGACCACGTGGCACCATCCAGACGCTCGCCCCTAATGATGATAATTCATCGTGATTAATCATCACTAATGGTAATTAATCACAATCATTACTAACAACTACAATTTAATCACGCGGCGGGTATTTCCAACCTTTGGTCATCGGCACGACTGGTCCGGGGGGTCCGCTGGGAATGGTGGAACGCGCACATTTGTAGTTGGGAGTTTATTTTCTGAGGCTATTTTTGGGCGTGTTTAAACAATAACCCTCTAAGCTCAACCAACAGTCGCTTCCCCCCCAACACTTCTAACCACGCCGAGAGTTGCAGCGGAGGGCATGGAGGGAGGAGGGAGGAGGGGTGGTGGTGGTGGTGCGGAATTTCCAACACCCCTTGCATTTTTATTCCTCGGGGGAGAAGGGGGGAGGGGGGTGAAGATCTCGAGCGAGAACCACAACAGAGTCTGCCCGGGCCCACGAATGAGATTTCCCTAAATATTCACCTTCCTCTGTCGCTCTCTCGCTCTCTCTCTCGCTCTCTCTCTCGCCCGCGTCTCCGAGAGAGGAAACGGCCACGCACTTCGCGTTTCCTTCCATGAGATCACACGAGCAGGCGTATCGCTCGGGTATAAGAGGGACGTGCGGGTGAGAGCGAAGGGGAGAGTCGTGGTTGACGGAGGCACAGAGAGAGAGAGAGACAGAGAGACACAGAGAGAGACACAGAGAGAGACAGAGACACACAGAGAGAGACAGAGACACAGAGAGAGACACAGAGACACAGAGAGAGACACAGAGAGAGACACAGAGAGAGACACAGAGAGAGACACAGAGAGAGACACAGAGAAAGACACAGAGACACAGAGAGAGACACAGAGAGAGACACAGAGAGACACACAGAGACACACAGAGAGAGACAGAGACACAGAGAGACGTCACAATCGCGAGTGTTTAACAGCGCGACCTGAAGATCCGAGTCGTACGTTTGGGTAATATGATTTCGCGTGTCTGTGTCTATGCGTGTCTGTGCGATTCTGTGTGTGTGTCTGTCTGTGTGTCTGTGCGTTTCTGTGTCTATGTGCGTGTCTGTGTGTGTCTATGTGCGTGTCTGTCTGTGTGTCTATGTGTGTGTCTGTGCGTTTCTGTGCGTTTCTGTGTGTGTGTCTGTCTGTGTGTCCGTGTGTGTGTCTGCGCGTGTCTGTGCGATTCTGTGTGTGTGTGTCTGTCTGTGTGTCTATGTGTGTGTCTATGTGTGTGTCTGTGCGTGTCTGTGCGTTTCTGTGTGTCTATGTGCGTGTCTGTGTGTGTCTGTGTGTTTCTGTGTGTGTGTCTGTGTGTGTGTCTGTGTGTGTGTCTGTGTGTGTGTGTCTGTGTGTATGTCTGTGGAGGAGGCTCGTGAAGGACGCTGCTACTGGGCAGCTGAAGGGCAGTCGCCCTCCAGCAACAGCGGAGGGCAGAGGAGCAACGCTCACAACAACGAGCGGAGCGCCGGGTGGATAAAATGTAGCGAGTTGGCACAATAGGGGGCACAGCTGGTGCACCTAGCCTGGCACAGCTGGTGTGCGTCTGCCAGTCATCTCAGTCAGTAAACCCATAACATCACCTGGGTCTGTCCCGTGACCTCCTGCACCTAGCCTGGCACAGTGGTGCATCTGCCAGTCATCTCGGTCAGTCAACTCTTCACCTGCTGGGTCATTCCCGTGACCTCCTGCACCTAGCCTGGCACAGTGGTGCATCTGCCAGCCATCTCAGTCAGCCAACTAATGTCACCCGCTGGGTCTGTCCCGTGACCTCCTGCACCTAGCCTGGCACAGTGGTGCATCTGCCAGTCATCTCAGTCAGCCAACTAATGTCACCCGCTGGGTCTGTCCCGTGACCTCCTGCACCTAGCCTGGCACAGTGGTGCATCTGCCAGTCATCTCAGTCAGCCAACTAATGTCACCCGCTGGGTCTGTCCCGTGACCTCCTGCACCTAGCCTGGCACAGTGGTGCATCTGCCAGCCATCTCGGTCAACCCACGGCACCTGCTGGGTGTGTCACGTGACCTCCTGCCAGCAGCGAGCCTTCGAGGCTTCACGCGGTGGCCTCAAGGTGCACCTAGCCTGGCACAAGCGTAGTGGCGACGTCACCGCCACTTGGTAGTGAACTGTGGTTGAGTTGCCACCAGTCTGACCCAAGTTCGACTCCTGCCCACGGCCACCACCAACACCACCGGTGACGATTATCAGAACCGGTTGCTGGTACCTCCCCTAGGTCGACTCAGCCTCAAATGAGTAACCCGGTGCGGTGTGCAGTGAACATCGCCACTGGGGGAGACAAAGGCGGCCGGGCGTGGTGCTGGCCACCCACCCCCCTCGTGTACCACAGTGCCGGTAGCCTTCACAGCTGCTGCCACTCGCTAGCAGCACTTGGCCCAGCAGTCTGTTTAAGGCTACACGATATCACGATGTCGCGATATCGCGATATCACGATATCACGATACCGTGATATCGCGATATCACGATACCGCGATATCGCGATACCGCGTTTTCCTCTCGTAAGAGATGGGCCTCCGTCACGTGGTGAAATGGAGGACGTGGGTGCCATGATTGATGAACGTCGATATATGACACATGGGGTTAAATAAAGGAAAGTTGGTGACAAGGCGGGCGACTCTGAATGAGGCTAAACACGGGGGCTGTGGACGCTTTCGACGACTGATTGCCTCATGCTCCTGCCAGCGATTCACGGGACTCACTCGATGTGTGACCCTTCCCCGTGGTGGCGGCAGGTACACGACAGGGATACCAACGTCAGGGCAAGATGATGCTACTGTCTGCAATCACGTTCACAGTCATAACCGGTGAGTTTGTGGGTCTCTGTGGGAGTCTGTGTGAGTCTGTGGGTCTCTGTGTGAGTCTGTGTCTCTCTGTGTTAGTCTGTCTCTCTGTGTGAGTCTGTGGCTAACTGTGTGAGTGTGTATCTCTGTGTGAGTCTGTGTCTCTCTGTGTGAGTCTGTATCTCTCTGTGTGAGTCTATGTCTCTCTGTGTGAGTCTGTGTCTCTCTTGTGTGAGTCTGTGTCTCTCTGTGTGAGTCTGTGTCTCTCTTGTGTGAGTCTGTGTCTGTCTCTCTGTGTGAGTCTGTGTCTCTCTGAGTGAGTCTGTGTCTCTCTGTGTGAGTCTGTGGGTCTCTGTGTGAGTCTGTGTCTCTCTGTGTTAGTCTGTCTCTCTGTGTGAGTCTGTGGCTAACTGTGTGAGTGTGTATCTCTGTGTGAGTCTGTGTCTCTCTGTGTGAGTCTGTGTCTCTCTGTGTGAGTCTATGTCTCTCTGTGTGAGTCTGTGGCTCTCTTGTGTGAGTCTGTGTCTCTCTGTGTGAGTCTGTGTCTCTCTTGTGTGAGTCTGTGTCTCTCTTCTGTGAGTCTGTGTCTGTCTCTCTGTGTGAGTCTGTGTCTCTCTGAGTGAGTCTGTGTCTCTCTGTGTGAGTCTGTGGGTCTCTGTGTGAGTCTTTGTCTCTCTGTGTGAGTCTGTGTCTCTTTGTGTTAGTCTGTGTCTCTCTGTGTGAGTCTGTGGCTAACTGTGTGAATGTGTATCTCTGTGTGAGTCTGTGTCTCTCTGTGTGAGTCTGTGTCTCTCTGTGTGAGTCTGTGTCTCTCTGTGTAAGTCTGTGTCTCTCTGTGTGAGTCTGTGTCTCTCTGTGTGAGTCTCTGTCTCTCTGTGTGAGTCTGTGTCTCTGCAATCACGTTCACAGTCATAACCGGTGAGTTTGTGGGTCTCTGTGGGAGTCTGTGTGAGTCTGTGGGTCTCTGTGTGAGTCTGTGTCTCTCTGTGTTAGTCTGTCTCTCTGTGTGAGTCTGTGGCTAACTGTGTGAGTGTGTATCTCTGTGTGAGTCTGTGTCTCTCTGTGTGAGTCTGTGTCTCTCTGTGTGAGTCTATGTCTCTCTGTGTGAGTCTGTGGCTCTCTTGTGTGAGTCTGTGTCTCTCTGTGTGAGTCTGTGTCTCTCTTGTGTGAGTCTGTGTCTCTCTTCTGTGAGTCTGTGTCTGTCTCTCTGTGTGAGTCTGTGTCTCTCTGAGTGAGTCTGTGTCTCTCTGTGTGAGTCTGTGGGTCTCTGTGTGAGTCTTTGTCTCTCTGTGTGAGTCTGTGTCTCTTTGTGTTAGTCTGTGTCTCTCTGTGTGAGTCTGTGGCTAACTGTGTGAATGTGTATCTCTGTGTGAGTCTGTGTCTCTCTGTGTGAGTCTGTGTCTCTCTGTGTGAGTCTGTGTCTCTCTGTGTAAGTCTGTGTCTCTCTGTGTGAGTCTGTGTCTCTCTGTGTGAGTCTCTGTCTCTCTGTGTGAGTCTGTGTCTCTCTGTGTGAGTCTGTGTCTCTCTGTGTGAGTCTGTGTCTCTCTGTGTGTGTCTGTGTGTGTCTGTGTGTGTTTGTGTGTGTCTGTGTGTGTGTGTGTCTGTGTGTGTGTCTGTGTGTGTGTCTGTGTGTGTGTGTGTCTGTGTGTGTGTGTCTGTGTGTGTGTGTCTGTGTGTGTGTCTGTGTCTGTGTGTGTGAGTCTGTGTTTGTGTGTGTCTGTGTGTGAGTCTGTGTGTCTGTGTGTGTGTGTCTGTGTGTGTGTGTCTGTGTGGGGGGAGCGGTAGTGTAGTGGTTAGCGCTACGCTGCGCTACGAACCCGGCGACCCGAGTTTGATTCGCGCTCACGGCCACCACCAGTGACGATTATTTGAACCGGTCCTGGGCCTCCCCTAGGTCGACTCAGCCTCAAACGAGTAACTGCTGTGGTGTGTGAACATCGCCACTGGGGGAGACAAAGGCGGCCGGCCGTGGTGAATCCAAGTCCCGGGGAAAGCCGGGGGTAGTAGAGCTCGTACCTAATGAATAACCTGAAACTGAGAAACTGCAACAGGTGGATGGCGTCTTCACGTGTCGCCGAACGCGACGAGCTGGCGGCGAGCGCGAGACTACTGCCGGGAGGTGGGGGCAGAGCTGGCGGTCATCCCCGGCCCGGTGGTCAACTCGAGACTCGCGTCGGCTCTCTCGGAGACCGATGGGAAGTTCTGGATCGGACTGCGGAAGGTTCGGATAGCAGCACCACCACCAATACCAGCACTACCATCACCACCACCATCACCAGCACCACCACCACCAGCACTACCATCACCACCATCACCAGCACCACCACCATCACCAGCACCATCACCAGCACCACCAGCAGCACCACTACCACCACCACCACCAGCACCACCACCATCACCAGCACCACCATCACCAGCAGCACCACCAGCAGCACCACTACTACCACCATCACCAGCACCACCACCACCAGCACTACCAGCACCACCATCACCACCATCACCAGCACCACCACCACCACTACCAGCACCACCACCATCACCAGCACCACCATCACCACCACTAGCACCATCACCAGCACTACCAGAACCACCACTACCACCAGCACCACCACCATCATCATCACCACCACCACTACCAGCACCACCACCATCACCAGCATCGCCACCACCACCAACAACAAGGGCCTGTGCGTTTTCATGGGATGTAGTTTTCATCAACAACATCATCAACACCATCAACATCGCTATCGATATCACCACCACCATCATCAACATCATCACCAGCATCATCATCGATGCAATCTGATCCGAATCTGAATGGATCCGCTTCCATCTGCCACTACGAACAAGAGCTTCACATATTCTTGGTTCTTTCGGTAAAGTCACGTTGAAGGGAAACAATAAAATAATAAAAAATATATAAAACAATACTTTTATTATTTTATTGTTTCCCTTCTACGTGGTGACTTTACCGAAAGAACCAAGAATACGAATCACTGCAGTCACGAAAGCTTTAAATCAAAAAAGAGCTTCACAGCTCTTCGGATTCCTCAATAAAACGGCCACCTCTGACCCCGTCCCCGACGCAGGCGGGCGGCCTGCAGTGGAGATGGATCGACAATTCCTCCGCCGACGGATTCCTGAACTGGGCCCCGTCCGAACCGAACAACCTCGCCAGAGAAGACTGCGTCGAGATGTACGTGGTGAGGGAAGGGGCCGGCCACGTGCCGGGGGACGACCACGTGACGAGGGAAGGGGCCGGCCACGTGCCGGGGGACGACCACGTGACGGTGCGCCACGCGAGGCACGGCCGCTGGAATGACGAACACTGCGGCAAGAGGAAGCGAGCACTCTGCGTGATAGGTGGGCACCACCATGGCCTGGGTTCAACCTCAGGTGTCTCTCTCCCTCTCTGGGGGTCCACAGTGGCTGTGTCTCAGACACTGGGGGTCTGGGTTCAAGTTCAGGTCTGGGTCTCTCTCTCTGGGGGTTCACAGTGGCCGTGTCAGAGACACTGGGGGTCTGGGTTCAAGTTCAGGTCTGGGTGTCTCTCTCTCCCTCTCTCAGGGGGTTCACAGTGGCCGTGTCTCAGACACTGGGGGTCTGGGTTCAAGTTCAGGTCTGGGTGTCTCTCTCTCCCTCTCTCAGGGGGTTCACAGTGGCCGTGTCAGAGACACTGGGGGTCTGGGTTCAACCTCAGGTGTCTCTCTCTCTCTCTGGGGGTCCACAGTGGCTGTGTCAGAGACACTGGGGGTCTGGGTTCAAGTTCAGGTGTCTCTCTCTCTCCATCTCTGGGGGTCCACAGTGGCCGTGTCAGAGACACTGGGAGTCTGGGTTCAACCTCAGGTGTCTCTCTCTCTCTCCCTCTCTCAGGGGGTTCACAGTGGCTGTGTCTCAGACACTGGGAGTCTGGATTCAACCTCAGGTGTCTCTCTCTCTCCCTCTCTGGGGGTCCACAGTGGCCGTGTCAGAGACACTGGGGGCCTGGGTTCAAGTTCAGGTCTGGGTGTCTCTCTCTCTCTCTGGGGGTTCACAGTGGCCGTGTCAGAGACACTGGGGGTCTGGGTTCAAGTTCAAGTCTGGGTGTCTTTCAGGGGGTTCACAGTGGCCGTGTCTCAGACACTGGGGGTCTGGGTTCAAGTTCAGGTCTGGGTGTCTCTCTCTCTGGGGGTCCACAGTGGCCGTGTCAGAGACACTGGGGGTCTGGGTTCAAGTTCAGGTCTGGGTGTCTCTCTCTCTCAGGGGGTTCACAGTGGCCGTGTCAGAGACACTGGGGGTCTGGGTTCAAGTTCAGGTCTGGGTGTCTCTCTCTCTCTGGGGGTTCACAGTGGCCGTGTCTCAGACACTGGGAGTCTGGGTTCAAGTTCAGGTCTGGGTGTCTCTCTCTCTGGGGGTTCACAGTGGCCGTGTCAGATACACTGGGAGTCTGGGTTCAAGTTC